GTGGCGCGATCTCAGCTCACTACAACCTCTGCCTCCCAGTTTCAAGCAATTCTCTTGCCTCAGCCTCCTGAGTAGCTGGGATTACAGGTGCCCCCCACCACGCCTGGCTAATTTTTTGTATTTTTAGTAGAGACAGGGTTTCACTATGTTGGCCAGGCTGGTCCTGAACTCCTGACCTCGTGATCTGCCTGCCTCGGCCTCCCAGAATGCTGTGATTACAGGCATGAGCCACTGTGCTCGGTGTATTTTCTAATAATTTTACATTCTTTGGATGTACTCTGTTCATTTTCTAACTTCTCAAGATAGCAACTCAATGCATTAATTTTCGGTCTTTTCTACTATATGCATTTAAGACTGTCCATTTTTCACTAAGATCTATTTTAGTTGTGTCTTGCACATTTGGATATATTGTGTATTGCTCAGTTTTAACTTTGTTATCCATTATGATTTTTATAAAACTGAATTATTTAGTAAATTAAAATATTTTCAAAGGTACTGGAGATTTTTGGTTTATTTTTCTATTAATTTTTAATTGTATTGCATTATACTCAGAACATGGTCTACATGCTATTGACTCCTTGGTATTTTTTGAGATTTGCTTCATGGTCTCCTAATTGATAATTTAAAAAAAATAAATGTTTAATGTGTGTTTGAAAAAAGTGTATTTTTAAATGTTAGGTACAAGGTTATATATATTCATTAGATCAAACTTGTTAATTTTTATAAAATCTTCTGTATTCATATTAATTTTGTCTGTTTAATTTCTTAAATCTTTGTTGAAATCTCTTAAGATTACGACTTTGTCATTTTCTTCTTCGAGTTCTGTCAACATTTGCCTTAATTATTTTGAAATTGTGTGGTTAGATTAATTACACTTTATAGTGGCAATATAACTTTCCAGTGAATTGTTTCTTTAGATGTCAGGTAGTGATATTAATCTCTAATAGCACCTTTCACCTTAAAGTCTGTTTGTTCTGGTATTAACTACCAGGTATACTTTTTAATATGTCCCCCTCCTTTATTTGCCTTTTGGTGCCATTATTTTTTAAAAATATGTTTTGTAGCTGGATTTATAATCTAATCTGAGAGGCCTTGTCTTTTATCTAGTGAACTTAATCTTGCATTTACTACAAATCATGATTTATAGCTGTTTTTTTTTCCACCATCTTTGTGCTTTCTAGTTTTCATGCTTTTTTTTCTTAAAAAATTTGTCTGTGCTTTTCATGAGTTGCATTCATACTTTCTTTGGTCCTTTTTTTCTTTTTATTTTCTCTTTCTATTGGATTGAGCCGGTTTTTAAGTTCTAGCTATTCTAGTACACCACCACCAGAAATTATACATTCTCTCTTTCCTTTCAGTATTTACTCTTCATTTGGACATCTTTACTTAAAGTCTAAAATTAGTCAATTTTAAAGTCCGATCATATGCCTTTTACCTTAAATGGTATTGTTGTCTAATATTTTATTTCTGTCTTTTTAAAATCTGTACTCCAAGTAGGTATTATTAGTACTGTTTTACATAGTACCTGTTTGTATTTGCTTTATTTATTTATTTGCTCACCGTTGTTTTGCTATACCAGTCAGTTTTTATACTTTACTTTCTTTTCCTGAAATGAGTCCTTGAACTTAAGTCTTTGAAATTAATATAGCAATTCTTTGAGACAAGTCTGAGAATTTAATTTTTTGAACAAGGGTTTACCCATGGTAAATTCTGTCTCTTTTTGTCTACAATGTCTTTTGTTTGCTTTTTTCTTGTCATCATTCTTGAATGATAGTTTTTCTGGGTATGGAATACAAGGGTGGTTGTTTTTCTTAGCATTTCCAAGATATTTTCCATTTCTTTGTTTCTCTGATTGCTTCTGAGAAGTCTGCTCACAGTCAAATTCCTCTTGTCAGTGGGTCATCTGTCCTTTCTCTGTTGTTGCTTCTGGGATCTTCTCTTTGTTCTAGGTGTTCTAAATTGCACTAGGATATGAATAGATAAGAATTTGTTTTCACTTATACTGCCCTAGGTAGGATTCGTGCCTCTTAAATCTAAAGACTTATGCATTTAATTGAACCTGAAAAATTCGTAGCCATTATCTCTTTAATTTTTGCCTTTGTTCCATTCTTTTAATTCTCTGCTTTTGGTATGTCTATTTAAATGTGTGTCAAACTTCATTTTGAGCTTCCAGCCTTAGGATGTTTTAAATTATGAAATATCACACATTCAAGCCACACATGGTGACACACAACTATGGTTCCAGCTATGTAGGAGTCTGAGGCAGGAGGATCACTTGATGCCAGCAGTTCAAGGCTGCAGTGAGCTATGATCGTGCCTGTGAATGGCCACTGCATTCCAGCCTAGGCAACATGAGACAAGAACAAGAGAGAGAGAGAGACAAGGAAGGAAGGAGAAAGAGAGCACACATTCAAAACAGTTACTATATCTATAGTTTGATAATTATATAACATTATTAACTAATTATGTAAAATAGGATGAACACCTGTGATCCCAGTACCATCAGCTTGAGCAATTTAATATCAAGAAGTACAAATGAAATCTGCATCTTACCTGCATGATTTTTGTGAGAATGCAAAAGATAAGCAAAACCGTGTGGCTTAGACTTAGTAGCTGGTCGTTCTTTAAGGAGAGACACCATCAGAAATGTGGTAGAGTAGATTCCAGCATTTGTTAAATTTTGGGTAATGTTTATTGAGTACTTCAAGTGCTGGGACAGTACCAAGTTCTTTACTTTGATTGTCTCATTTAGTCCTCACATCAGCTCTTAAGAAATAAACTGTTAAAACATTCTAGTTTTATAGATGAGGAACTGAGGTTGAGGAATGGAGTAATTTGGCTAGGACTTCACAGCTGGAAGATGGCAGAACCATGACTACACTCTGTGCAGTGTGGTTCTCAACCGTTTATGCTTTGCTGCCTGTAAATGAATCGTGTGGCTCCTTCCTATGACACCCAGATTCTATATGATATGGTGTTCATTGGAGATTCCTTTGTTGAAGTCCTTTTTTGGTGATGCATTTTGGGAGATCCAAACTGGGTTGCAAGGGAAAGTGGAGGAACATGAAGAAACCTAGGCCTTAGGTCTGTAAACAGGGCCTTCTTCAGGTCTCAACTTGGAACTTACCTTTCCCAGAAGAAAACCTCTCCAGAGACGGTGACCCCACAAACCTGCTTGAATGTCCTCCTTCTGTGTTCCTATGTGGCACCGTAATTGGCTGTTTAAATGTCTCCTCTCCCTACTCCATGTGGTAGCCAGGACAGGACTGCCTTGTTAACGTCTGTATCTCCAGCACTCAACACAATGTCTGGTCCATAAAGGTTCACAACACATATTTGATAATTCTTAATGATGGAGTAAATTATTGTACTAGAAGAACTAATAATGTGACAGCTTTTATTGAATATTTTATTCCGAATACTGTGGTTAAATTTTTTACGTATTTTACAGATAATTGTAATACTGAATTGTGATTTATCTAAAAGGGTTCTCTCATTTAATCCTTACAATAATTGCAGGAGTTAAGTATCATTGTTACCTATTTTACAGATGACAAATGAGCTGAAGTTTAGAGAGATTACATGACTTGTCTAAAATCACCTGCTGTTTAATCGGTAGAGCATGGATTTGAACCCTTACCTGTCTGATTCCAGAGCCTGTGGTCTTTACATGTTAGCGTTCTGCTTCTCTGGAGATTTGCACAGTCAAGTTAAATTGGAGAAATTGTAGAAATTTATGTTCTTGAAAAATTGCTAAGAAGCCCGCCCCAGTGTTGGGATGATTTGCCATATAAGGGCAAAAACAACAAAAAATAGATTCAGCCATACGTTGCAGTGATTCCTTTCTGTGCACCTGCTCTTACAGCATACACAGCTTCAGCATGGACTGGCATTAAGCTGTTTTAAAAAGGAAACCACTTTCATGCACCCGTTGTTAACAACAGCAGTTGTCTTAGTTGACACAAAATGGGTCTGATAACCCTGGTTGGTTTGCTAGATTCAAATGTGTGACATGAACAAATCGTGGCAGCTATTTATGACCAACATTAAGCATTTTAGTCTTAATCAGATGTGGAACTGGCTGATGGGTGAGGTCTAAGTTGGTGTTAACTAGACTGGCTGGCTGGCATTTCTGTTGATTGAAGATAGCAGAGAGACTGAGACATTAAAATGTAGTAGGCTCTTTAGACCCTAAGTGATAGCTAAAGCTTTTTTTTTTTTTTTTTTTTTTTTTTTTAAAATTTTCTTTTCTTTTTTCTTTTTTTTTTTTTTTTTAGACAGAGTCTCACTGTGTCACTAGGCTGGAGTGCAGTGGTGCGATCTCAGCTCACTGCAACCTCCGCCTCCCGGGTTCAAGCGATTCTCCTGCCTCAGCCTCCTGAGTAGCTGGGACTATAGGCGCTCACCACCATGCTCGGCTAATTTTTGTATTTTTAGTCGGGGTTTCACCATGTTGGCCAGGATAGTCTCAATCTCCTGACCTGCTGATCCACCTGCCTCAGCCTCCCAAAGTGCTGGGATTATAGGCGTGAGCCACCGCACCCAGCCTTTAAATTTTCATAGTGCCATTCATTTCCAGAACTGGTAATTTGTATATTTGAGGATATTGTCTTATTGTATTAAAAGTTATATTTCACATTTTGAATAATACCAAGGTTTAGGGATTTTTTTAAAAGCCATGGAACATCCTTTTAATTTGCAATTTGGTTATTTAGAATTGTATTTTGGTAAAAAGACTTTCATATTCTCTTTTGCTATGTCTGCTAGTGCAGTTGATTACATCTTTTTGATTCTAGGGATTTGGATTCTTGTAATTTGATGGCGTGTCCTTGGTAGTGGCTTTTTCTAGAAGTGAAAGTTGATATTTACTATACGATGTCATCATATCTAGACAATTGAGAGTTTTGGGTGGAGGTAATACAGGAGAAATGGGCCTAAGAAAATGTATAACCTCTGTAGTGTTGATGTTACGTAATAGGTTTGTTTCTCTCTTCTTTCAGACTGGTCGAATTGACAAATCCTACCCTACAGTATGTGGCCACACAGGACCAGTGCTGGACATAGACTGGTGCCCACATAACGATCAGGTCATTGCCAGCGGTTCAGAGGACTGCACAGTCATGGTAAGCTCCCAGGGTGTTGCATGCACGCAGGCCAGTGGGACTCACCTACTGCTTTCAAAAGCATGTGTGTGAATGTGTGTGTATGTATAGAGGCTTGAAAAGCAGAAAGTTATAGCAGTTTTGACTGTCTGTTGGATTTTACAAGAATTTACTACATTTAAGTTTAATTACAGATAATCCTTTCAGCAAGCCCTTAAATCAAAAGGTTGTACTGCAGTGTCTTTTTTTTTTTTTTTTTTTTGAGATGGGGTCTCACTCTGTCACCCAGGCTGGAGTGCAGTGTCATGATCTCAGCTCACTGTAACCTCCGCCTCCCAGGTTCAAGTGATTCTTCTGCCTCAGACTCCTGAGTAACTGGGATTATAGGCATCCGCTGCCACACCTGGCTAATTTTTGTATTTTTAATAGAGATGAGGTTTCACCATGTTGGCCAGGCCGGTCTCGAACTCCTGACCTCAAGTGATCCGCCTACCTCGGCCTCCCAAAGTGCTGGGATTACAGTCTTTTCTGTGAGTGTATTTGTGTATGTGCTTATTGACAGTTGACATCTCTGTCGGAAGATTTTAGGGAAAGTAAAATGACTTTTCAGTAATTCTGTAATGCCATTTGACCACATGAATTTCCCCTCACCCCAAAAGAACAGAAAAAACTGCTGGCATAGACTGTACAAGACAGTGACGTAAGATGCCAAAGTTATGCAGATGAAATGGGATATGTCACAGGTGGTAAAAGACAATTTTTGCAATTGCTTATTACCAAGCTAACGGCAGAAATTGTGTTCTGTCCAGTGGACCCTGGTTAAGAAAGTCCTTTTCATAAAGATATACAAACAAACAAAAAACGTGAAAGGTGAATTAAGCACTTCACATTCCCTCCTTTAGTTTCCAAAAGTAGGTTATGTGTGAAACAAGGCTTTGGAGTACTTTTTAATATGATTTCTTGTTCTTGGTTATGATTTTTAACTTTAAAATGTGATTATTGGTTTGGGTCAGTTTTTAATGCTAGCCCAAAATAGGTTGAAAAGGTTAGGCATAAGTGCAAATGGGAGTACTGCTGCCCCTGAAATAAGGGAAGATGGTCTCTAATTAATTTGGTAAGCAGTCTCGCACATGTCAGGTAGACAGCTTGGAGAACTATGCTACTTTTATTTTCCTCTCTGTTGGCTGTAGACTGAAACATTGTTTGGAAAGCTTTATTAATTAAAATTATTTTACATAAACACAAATTAATTCCTGAACTGTGTCATTTAAACATTTACCCGCTTTTCCTCATGGGCTTTTGGCTAGGAATGTCTCCTCTTGTGATCTCATAATTTTGGCAGCTAAAGCATATTAAGGAAATATGCTGCTGTGAAAGGGAATTGTTCTGTTTAATGTGCCTTGCTAAATTGATCATTTTAATGGCCACGGACACATTTTTTTTTTTTTTTTTTTTTTTATTTAGACCTGATGCCAGAATTTTTTTTTTTTTTTTTTTGAGATGGAGTCTCACTTTGTCCCCCAGGTTGGAGTGCAATGGCATGATCTCAGCTCACTGCAACCTCTACCTCCCAGGTTCAAGCGATTCTCCTGCCTCGGCCTCCCGAGTAGCTGGGATTACAGGCCTGCGCCACCACGCCCAGCTAATTTTTATGTTTTTAGTAGAAACGGAGTTTCACCATGTTGGCCAGGCTGGTCTTGAACTCCTGACCTCAAGTGATCCACCCGCCTCAGCCTCCCAAAGTGCTGGGATTACAGGCACGAGCCATCGCGCCTGACTTGGATGCCAGAATCTTAAACGGAGAGTCTGAACCTCTTTTGAAGAAGCAGGTTTGATCCATCCTCTGGCTCTCCCTGTCTCTAGCATTATCCTTTAAAAAAAAAAAAAGGATAACGTTATCCTTTAAAAAAAAAAGTGTGTATTATAAAACAGAAAAACACACCAAATAGTTAAGTGAAAAAGTGAATTCAGGGAGTTAAGTGATTTATGACATAGCGAACACCATGTAACCACCTTCCATGTCAAAAAGTAGAACTTTCCCAACCTCCTCGGACTTCTCCATGTGCCCCATCCCAGTCCAACACCCCTCCTCCCTCTCAAAGTAACCACTCTCCTGACTTTTGTAATACTCATTTCCTTGCCTTTCTTTGTAGTGGTAATCACTCAAGTGTATACCTTTAAACTCTATAGACTGGTCTTGCCAGTTTTAAAAACTTTAAGTCTTAATCTGAAGATTCTTTCTTCATCATTTTCTTTTTCCTACCATGTATCTACGCAAAAGCCCTGACGTTTGACCTGTGCTTTTCAGCCATCTGGATTTTGCTGATTGTATCCTCATGTTGCAGTGGAACGTACTCCTCTGTCCTCTGAATTTCCTGCAGATTGGCAGCTGGAACCTGAAGTGCGGTCAGATTCAGGTTCTGTCCTTTTGGCAAGACTGTATTGTTCCCGTTATGTTCTTCCATACGCTAGGAAGCACATGATGTCACGATGTCTGGGTTTCATTCTTTTTCGATTCGTGCATTCTGTGCCTATATCCAGTCATTCACTAGGGGTCGCAATATGGTGACAGTAAATTCTGTCATTTTGTTTTCAATTTTTAGCTGGTAAAATTTTATAAGATGATGCCCTGACTTGCATACTATTTAGTTACCAAATAGTATAGTTCATTTAGGAAAGCAGGATAAGTGCTTGATTCTTTCCTTTTATTTCCAGTTCTCAAGATAATGAATTGATTGTCTGTCATCCTCAGAAGGTGACAAATTAGAGTTTTTTCCCCCGTTTCCTTTCATTTTGAAATTATGGATTTGAATATATTTGATGGGTTCAATCCATTATAATTCTTATCTCAAAGCTGACTTTCTCGCCTTTTCCAGTGGAAACCTCTTCAAGATTTCTGAGTCCTTTTGAAATGACCCTTGTAGTCTTTGATAGATAGATTCCTTGCTGTGTGATATGCTGAGGTGTTTCAGGTTCACTTTGGACATCCCTGCCCAAGCCATTTCTTTCAGACGTCCTGGTTTATTTTAAGGGAAAATTATATCTCTTAAGTATGCAGTAGCATTATGTCTAAAAAAAAATATGTGTGTGTGTGTGTGTGTAATTAATTTAAAAATACTGTATTACCAAAGAGAGTGTAATCTTTTTGTTGTGGAGGGTTTCCCCTCCATGTTGATGGCTGCTGACTGATGAGGGTGGTGGTTGCTGAAGGTTGGGCTGGATGAGGCAATGACAATAAAGTTTGTCATATTGATTGACTTGGCCTCTCATGAAATCTTCCTCTGTAGCATGTAATGCTGTTTGATAGCATTTTACCCACCGTAGAGCTTCTTTCAAAATTGGAGTCAGTCCTCTCAAACCCTTTTGCTGCCTTATCAACTAAGTTTATGTAGGTAATATTCTAAATGTTTTGTTGTCATTTCAACAGTGTTCACAGCATCATTACCAGGAGTACATTCCATCTCAGGAAACTGTTTTATTTGCTTTTCCATAAGGAACAACGCCTCATCTGTTCAAATTTTATCATTAGATTGCAGCAATTCACTCACATCTTCAGGCTCCACTTTTTATTCTCTACTTCTGTATTTCCACCATATCTACAGTTACTTCTTCCACCAAAGTCTTGAACTCCTCAAATGTTGATATTTTGAACTCCTTCCATGAATCATGAATTTTCTTAATGTCACCTAAAATGGTTAATCCTTTCTAGGTTTGTTTTTTTTTTTTTTTTTTTGAGACGGGGTCTTGCTCTGTCGCCCAGGCTGGAGTGCAGTGGTACGATCTCGGCTCACTGCAACCTCCGCCTCCCAGGTTCAAGCGATTCTCCTGCCTCAGCCTCCCGAGTAGCTGGGACTACAGGCGCGTGCCACCATGCCCAGCTAATTTTTTGTATTTTTAGTAGAGACGGGGTTTCACCGTGTTAGCCAGGATGGTCTCCATCTCCTGATCTCGTGATCCGCCCGCCTTGGCCTCCCAAAGTGCTGGGATTACAGGCGTGAGCCACTGCACCCGGCCCAGAAGGTTTTAAATTCACTTTGCCCAGATCCATCAGGGGAATCACTATCAGTGGTAGCTGTAGCCTTATGAAATGTATTTCTTAAATAAGAAGACTTGGCCGGGCGCAGTGGCTCACTCACGCCTGTAATCCCAGCACTTTGGGAGGCCAAGACGGGCGGATCACGAGGTCAGGAGATGGAGACCATCCTGGCTAACACGGTGAAACCCCGTCTCTACTAAAAATTCATTAAAAAAATGAACCGGGCGTGGTGGCGGGCGCCTGTAGTCCCAGCTACACGGGAGGCTGAGGCAGGAGAATGGTGTGAACCCGGGAAGCGGAGCTTGCAGTGAGTGGAGATCGTACCACTGCACTCCAGCCTGGGTGACAAAGCAAGACTCCGTCTCAAAAAAAAAAAAAAAAAAAAAAGACTTGAAAGTCAAAATGATTCCTTGTTCCAAGGGCTGCAGAATTGATGTTAGCAGGTGAAAACAACGTTAGTCTCCTTGTACATTTTCATCAGAGGTCTTGGGTGATAAGGTGCATTGTTGATGAGCAGTAATATTTTTAAGGAATCTTTTTTTTTCCTGGTCAGTAGTTCTCAATGGTGGACTTAAAATATGCAGTAAACCATGCAGTAAACAGATGTGCTGTCATTCATGCTTTGTTTTTCCATTTCTAGAACACAGATAGAGTAGATTTAGCATAATTCTTAAGGGCCATAGGATTTTTGGTGCGGTAAATGAGCATTGGCATCAACTTAAAGTCACCAGCTGCATCAGCCTGTAACAAGACAGGCAGCTCATCTTTTGAAGCTTTGAAGCCAGGCATTGACTTCTCCTCTCTAGCCATGAAAGTTCTCGGTGGCATCTTCTTTCAGTAGAAGGCTGTTTCATCTACATTGAAAATGTATTGTTTAATGTAGCCACCTTCATCAATGATCTTAGCCAGATCTTCTGGATAACTTGCTGCAGCTTCTCCATCAGCACTTGCTGCTTTCCCTTGTACTTTTATATAATGGATATGG